ACGATGTCCCTGAAGAACGGCAACGCCGCCGCCACAAACGTGCACGCCGTAACGTACAAGGTCTGCAGCACCACCCGCGATGCCAGGTTCCGCCACGAGAACCTCCCTTGGCCTGTGTCCGCCGACCCCTTCTCCATGATCTCGTACGCCACCTGCGAGTACACCAGTGCAATGGCCAGGAGTTGAAGGAGGACGAGCACGACGGCGAGGCCTAGCAGCCACGTCGGTGTGAACGAGGGCCCCGAGTCCGGCATCAAGCTCTGCAGTGCGTTGGACTACACCTTGTTGCTGAAGGCCCAGTAGTCGGAGATGGCTGCCAGGTAGAAGGTGAAGAAGACCATGGTGTAGCACAACACAAGCCCCTTGACCATCTTCCCCGCCACCGGTGGCGCCAGTGTGGCCTGGATCTCGGGCAGGATGCCGTTGCCGAACACGGTGGCTAGGATGGAGATGGAGAGGAAGGCGACATACATCTTCCCAGACTTTGAGGGGGTCAGTAAGTAATCTTTCACCGGAGCATTGCTCATCATACCTATCAAAAATTCAGATTTAAGATTGACCAAGTTTTTTTCTAGCTCTTTTTCATCTCAAAAACACAAAGTACGACATAAACACGTGATGCACACATGATCAAGGGTGTTTGCACATTACCTACCCGAATGCACGCGCCCGATACGAGGATGGTGTAGCCGAAGGCTAGGACCAGGGACCCGAGGTTGATATAACGCAACGAGTGGAATGACGACATCTGCGAGAAGAGAGACAACATGACGGCGACGATGATGATGAAGTGGTACAGCTTCAGGGTACCATCCGACGCCAACCTCTCCGTACACAAAGCTTCTTTGACAATCAATGGATCAATGACAAGACCCTACAGTATCACTGTTTGACTGTTTATTTCCTTATGATTTCAATTCAACCACGGGCCTTTTATTTTAGTGTAGAAATATAGCTTACCAATGCCAAAAATATGCTAGATAAGCCAACATCTAAACTAATTCTGAGATATGAGCATTGTCGTAAATTTTATGGGCATGAGACACTTCACTTGAAGGAGTTCACAACCATACACACTACTAAGCATTAACATAACAACCATCTTGCGAATCATCAACTGAAATAAAATAAATCTATCGATTGGACCGAGAAACATGCAAAAAAATAGTGACCCAGGTCAGCGGGAGCAAATTTATTTATGATTATTTTCTCTTCCTGTTTTGGTTGTCCAGAACCAGGAATATAATCCACTAAGTGTTGCAAACCAACATATGGTTGGATGGTTAAGAGGGCAATGGTATCCCAGTTCATCAGGGTTTAAGTCCTGAACTTGACATTGGTGCTCGCATTTTTCTATATTTGTTTCAGGCCTTCGGCCGATGTGCGTTCAATTGATGTGCCAGCTCGGTCTCTCTCGTAGGTGCTCATAGGGGTAAGGTGTGCATGTGTACATTCATATGGGTGAGTGTATGTGTGTATGTATGAGCGTCCACGTATGTACTGTATTAAAGAAAAGAATCCACTAAGTGTTACTGCCGCCTCTCCTCTCCTCTTGTTTGTTGCCAACATGGCACCACCTAAGCTCAGACTGCTCAATTGCTGGTAGAGGGGGGAGGGGCACATGCACCCGTTGTCATCGCCAACGTACAAGAGGAGTTGGGGTAGGGTTTCACCGGAATGAATGAGGAATCGTTGATTTTGCGGGCAGGAAACAGGGGCAACATGGCAAGTAGGCACACCTCCACCATCGCCCAGGAGATTGAGCAATCACACCGGTTGCGGAGCCTAGGTCAACATGGGTGGAGAGTTGCATTGATCGGCAAGAGAAGTATCGCCTCACTCCAATTAAGTCGACCGCCCGGGAAGTTCATCCCTCGTGTGTTCAATGTTACTTTTATGAATTTATCTCCTGAGTAGATAATGGTCACGGTTCGTCCAGATAGTGAGATAATGATAACGGAGGGAAGGGGAGTGTATCGTTGAGTTGAGATGCTCGTTTGCTGAAACGGGTTTCGTGTGGGAAAGCCCAATGAACCACAGTAAGCCAACTTTTCTACGGTAGTAAATAGTGCATGTGCTAGAAATACATGATTTTCTTTGGGTAGGTTTCACCAAAACTTATTTCATCATGAAAACTGATGCAGATGTAGTATACATCCCTATGTTTTTTCCTGAATCTTCTCTAACTTTAAATTTTGACTTTTTTTGGTATTTTTCACAAATCCGGGTTCCATGGAGTCCAGGACCCAAACCAATTTCCCCAAAAGAAAAATGGATCTATGAGCTGAATCCGCTTCCAACATATGTAGTTATTCATGTGTTCTTTATGTGCAGTGAAGTTCATCATGTCGTTATTGTCTGTGCAAGGCCTTTTGCCCCTGCGTAGGTTACTAGGTTGTGATGTGATATTATGATGCTTAGCAATTATTCCATTGTTTCGAAACGAGTCTGTGTAGCTGGATCTGATCAGGGATGCAACAAAAATACCTAATAAAAACAAAAACAAAATAGAACCACGCGATCTGTTGCCTTTTTAGGTTATTTGCTGAGAGACCATGAATATTTATAGCTGTCAAATCATTTTTTGAGCCAATTACAGAAACACAAATATATCAGAATTCTTCCGGTGTTGCTCAGACAAATATTCGGCATATTGTAACACGGAACCATATATTCGATGACACAGTTTGTGTGGTTGATGGGCTATGACCGGCCTACTTTACCTGAGCTATAACAAGAATTTCCCCTAAAAATGATAAAATGATCTACATATGCGGCAAGAAACTAATTCAGCTGACGACATGGTCACTGAACAACTGGAACTGTCCGGCGTCGAGCACAAGCTTCCGCACGGACGCAATGGCGCCAATGATCCCAACACCGGTGAACAAGGCCATGATCGCCACGTTGATTACGTACACCGCCGACCTCTTAGGCGGGGCCAACGCCATGTTGTACATGACGACGGGGAGCACGAAGTCGAGCGGGATGAACCCCAAGGCGCCGACCACGCCCACGATATCACCGAAGAACGGCAGCGCCGCCGCCACAAATGCGCACGCAGCAACGTACAAGGTTCGCAACGCCACCCGCGGCGCCAGGTTCCGCCATGAGAACCTTCCATGGCCCGCGTCTGCCGACCCTTTCTCCATGATCTCGTAGGCCACTTGCGAATACACCAGCGCAATGGCCAGGAGCTGGAGGAGGACGAGCACGACGGCGAGGCCGAGGAGCCATGTCGGTGCCAGAGAGGGCCCCGAGTCCGGCATCAGGCTCTGTAGCGCATTGGACTGCACCTTGTTGCCGAAGGCCCAGTAGCCAGAGATGGCCGATAGGTAGAAGGTGAAGAAGACCACAGTGTAGCACAACACCAGCGCCTTCACCATCTTCCCCGCCGCTGGTGGCGCCAGGGTGGCTTGGATCTCAGGCAGGATGCCGTTGCCGAACACGGTGGCCAGGATCGAGATGGAGAGGAAGGCGTTATACATCTTCCCGGACTTTGATGGGCTCAACGAGTAATCTTTCACCGGAGCATTGCTCATCATACCTGTCAAAAATTCAGACCTAAGATTAACCATTTTTTTTTTCTTCCTAACTCTTTTTCATCTCAGAAACACCAAGTACAACATAGACGTAAACATGTGATGCACGAACGATCATCGGTGTTTGCACATACCTGCCCGAATGCATGCACCGGAGACGAGGATGGTGTAGCCGAAGGCGAGGACTAGGGACCCGAGGTTGATATACCGCAACGAGTGGAATGACGGCATCTGCGAGAAGAGAGACAGTACGATGGCGACGATGATGATGAAGTGGTACAGCTTCAGGGTACCATTCGGCGCCAAGCTCTCGTACATAATCTGCACCCGTTGATATGTACACGTATAGCCAAGGTGCAACAGACATATCAGTCAGGCACATAGCTTGGTAAACATTTTGTTTCTCTACAACATTTTATTGTGCTTTTTCGCACGATCTATTCCTGCCACCATTATTAGTTGTGCAATGCTTTTCATTTACATTGAACATTTACTTTATTTGCAAGCAACAGCAGTTACATGGTACCAAAGATTTTACAATAAAACATTCTTGTCTACTTTCACATGTCGCATGGTAAGAGATTCCTAGAATAAATATTCTGAAATTCAGTGGTTTACCTGGAGGCAGTTGCCGGCGATGAGGATGCTGCCGATGGTGATGCCGGCGTTGATGGCGGTCTGCACGGTGAGCACCGCGTAGAACACCCACCCGGACCCTACCACACCACACCGATCCAAAACAGCACATCAAACCACGCTGCCAAATTTGTCGGTCCATGATTACCAGCACCCGCATTAATTGACTACAATTAAGGCATACCGAGGACGTCGGCGGCGAGCTCGCGGAAGCGGATGTGGCGGCGGCCGGCGGCCTCGCAGTGGTCGAGCACGCGGGACATGAGGTAGTAGGTGTAGAACGTCACGGCGGCGACGGCGGTGAGCGCCGATAGCCCGAGTGCCCAGCCCATGCCGCGGAGCGCGTACGGCAGCGTGAGCACCGTGGGGCCCACCATGGCGGTGGTGAGGTGGAACCCCGCGTGCCACCACGTGCCCTTGGACTCCAGCACGAACTCGGCGCCCGCGTCCCCCGCCGCCGGCTTCCCGTCCTCGACGCCGCCGGAGTAGGACGCGGAGGGGGTCATGGCGCGCCCCGTGGACGGCGACACCAGGAACGGGCTGGCCCCGGTGTGTCCGGCCATGTTCGGATCCATCGACCGACCCCTCCCGGTAGCCTCGACTCTCGATCAACCAGTCGATCGCCGCGGCGTCAGATTAGGCGCTTGCACCGCGCGCGCGAGCAGGGCATGCGTGGAGACTGGAGAGGAAGGTGTGGAGCGGGATTAATGGCGCGGGATCTCGGGGAGATCGTGGCGGCGGCTGAATAATTCGCCCACTCGTGTTCTTGCTGGATTGTAACTAGGCGAGGCTGGATCACGTGGAGGGATCCGGACAGGCAGGCGGGCCGACGCCAAGTCAACGCCGGGGGAACTCCCCTACTCTCCTGTTTACTTTTCTCAGCTCAATTTTTCAGTGGGGAGGGAGGAAGAAGAAGGTCAAACTAAGCGGAGCTGCCAATTCGTCGACATCCAGCTAAAATAGTCGATATATAGGACAATACTACTACTAGGTGTGGAGTGCACCCAACAAGCTGCTGCCCGCCTGCATCTACATGCGTGCCGTGCCACACAACTCTCTGCCCGCATCTATCCATCCACCAATCCTCTCCGGGATCGGGGAGCAAGACGACAACACTTGGTGAGCGCCCATACTCCCCTCCGTTTCTTTTTACTCCGCGTATAAAACTTGGTCAAAATCAAACTACACAAAGTTTGATCAAATTTATATTAAAAAATATAAACATGTATAATACTAAAACTATATAGTACGAAAATACATTTCATGACGCATTCGATAATATTGATTTCATATTGTGAATGATGATGTTTTTAAATATAAAGTTAATCAAACTCTACAAAGATTGACTTTGATCAAACTTTATATACAGATTAAAAAGAAATGGAGGGAGTACAAGTATAAATACACGCTTGTGGTGGGATATGTATGGGTTGTTTCTGGCTATCTATATGTGGTACTGACGTAAATGAATGCCTCCTTTCTTGGCTTGTCCTTCGTTTATCCACATTTCAGTAGATACCAAAAGTGTAATGTAAAATAAAAAGAGCATTAGAGGATATTTTTCACTGCATTTCTTATTATGCATACAAGCTAGCACAAAGAATATGGTTATCTCTGACGGTTAATGTTTGTGTGATTCTCAATTTTTAGGGCGATTTGATTAAAATTAAACTAGTACTCCCTTACAGTCCGTATTAATTTTCAATGATTCAGTACTAAAACTTTATATTAAATCAGCGACAATTAATATGGATCGAATGGGAGTAGAAAACATGTGAATAGGGGACAGTCATGTTGTACTACGGAAAATGATGTTTTGTCCTTCATATTACTAGTAAGTGTGCACGTGCAACACACGTCTATTTGAACTAATAAGTGTGCATACACAATATGCATTTATTCGGATTAACATATTATACTAAACTTAATACAAGACAATTTATTCATAAATTTGAAATTTCCCTATAAAGTACACGATCTCTTATTTCCAACTCGTACAAATAATTTGAAATATCGTTTCTTCTTAATCAATATGTCTCCTGTATTAAAAGATCACCCACTTTTCTCAATGTATAAAATTCAAAATTATTTAGAAGATTCATCATGATTCTTCATATGCACACATTTATGCAAGTATAGTCACACATGAAAATGTCACTTAGGACAAGCTAAGGAACCGTTTCAGTGCCAACAAATTCCAGTCAAAAATTACACAAGATCGTCATGAACATATACAGAGAGAAGTGACCTCTCTTTCTCCGAGATTGATCGAACAACAAGTTTTTGTATATATCTATCCGACACTACTACATATATACAATATAACATCTCTTATAATCCCTAACATGTAAAATTAATTTCAACTTCCACATGGCATTCTCCGTCTTTATGTATGACATGGTCAAGAAAGAATCCCGCCAATTCCTCTTGAATTGCTCGTATGCGATCATGTGGTATGAGTTCATTCCGCATCTGTCACATCTAATTTAAAGAAGAGGGTCAATACATATATATGAAAGAAACTCAACACAATCGATGGTAATAAAATAAAATTGTGAATATTGTTTATGTACTAAATGATATGAAATTTACCATGACCACAAAATATCCTACATTCATCATCATCATAATCAACATGCAGTTTTTGCTTCTCTTGTATGTAGTCCAAGTTTTCTATCAGGAAAACATGTTAGCTCAACTGTAGATAAGGATGGTATGAAAATGCTCATGTAAAATTACAATTGCCATGTATCTGCTGGACAAACAAATACACTTATGCAAACTTCAAGGTTTTTTTAGCAAAACTTATGCGAACTTTATTTTTTTTCATTAAAACTTATGCAAACTTCTGGGTTTTTTCAGTGAAACGTAATTTTATGACTGCAAGTAAGGTCTTGGTTCAGCGAATTTGTCTGTGAGTTCACTATGTAGTCATGAGTTGGCCATGTAATAACCGGTAGTTAGTACTTAAAAAAACAGGGATGTCTGTTGCAGGTACGTGAAAATCAGTGAAAAATAAAGAAAGAAAGAAGGCGAACGTCTCTGTGTGTGCTTCAACGCTCCTCTGTTTCTCATTGCCTCATCTCTAGTTCCTGTACTTCTAGATGTGTCACCACCGACGAGGTAGCGATGACAGTAAAAAAACAACACTCGATACTTACTTGATTAATGCGTGTGTGTGGTGCGTTCGCATGAAGGCGAGAGTCTCCGTCATTTAGGCGTGCAAGCGGCCGCGGCGACCGTGTCCTCTCACCAGCTGGGCGGCATTGTCGAGGCAGGTGAGTCAGTCGTCCAGCTTTGAGGCGACGGCCTCCACGCACCGGGATTAGCTTTGGACGACGTCGTCCACACGCGAGTACCGGACAAGCGTGTCCAACGGAGCAACACGCGTCAGAGCTGAGGGAGTCGGCGGCGGCTTCGGGCGAGTGAGATGGGGCCGTGATTAGCTTCACCTGCTTCACTGTGGCCGAGACCTGCACCGCCCTGGGGACGATAATGGTTGGCGACCAGGCGAATCTACATGCATGGTTGTGGGGGCAGATTTTTTTGGCCCGCTAATACTGGTCCAAGATACTCAGCGTTGCTCCCACTTGAAGGACCTCGACGGTGGGTGGTTGTCAGCGTGAGTGTTGTGGATGGAGCCGAAGTCGACGCGGATGCCGGTGGTTCCCGAAGAGCATGCCCAGGATGTGGACAAAGTCGTTGCAGTCAGTAGAAGTGTGTTCGGAGGAAGCCGCATCTCCTCCTCGCGTGTCTCCCATTGTGCCTCGCGTGGGTGGTGGGCTGGTGACGGCTCGCGACTCGCGGTCACGATTCCCTGATAGGAGACGATAGGATGCACTCGCGATTAGTTTCCTAATAATTAGATGCGTTTGTGATTAGTTATCTAATAGGATGCAGCCATGATTAGTTTCCCAATAATTAGATGCGTCCGTGATTAATTTCCTAATAGGATGGCTCGTAATTATTTTCCTAATAATAGGATGCACGCGTGATTTTTTTCCTAATAATAGGTTGGCTTTGTGATTAGTTTCCTAATAATTAGATGTGCCCGTGATTAGTTTCTTAATAGGATGTGTCCGTGATTATAGTTTCCTAATTGACCAGGCATGGACTTTCATATTTTCCTCCGCGATGAAGTACGGTCAGTCAATGTAAATTGCTAAGTGCACACAGAGAACAGATTCGGTTAAGGCTAGCCGTTAAATTGAGTTTAGTGGGACTAATCATGCGGTGGAATGTATCCGTGTACGTTTGTGGGGTGCACTTAGAGAAGATAATGTTTGCTCTTTTATAAGTAGTATAGAATAAGTAGTATAGAAGAAGAGATGGTGGATCTCCTTTTCCGTTTCTACGCCTCACCTAATTATCTTGTATGGCGTCGCTAAAATAGCACCATTGTGCATGGCCTTGTCAAACCTATTTTAAAGAGACGGAAACGATATATGATAATTTTGTATGATTTGGGCACTGTTTGCCTTGTATTGTTGGATTCTGAGGGTTGGAGAGAGGTATAAGTTTTTTTTAGTTGCTAGTTTTATAACGCAATATCATCAGACTATGTGCTTGTGAATGGAGCAAACCGGTTACTACTCTTGCTTCATCCATAAATTTTTTTTTCTGAATTAGGCATATATAGACACGTTTTAGTGTGTTTGTTCACTCATATCAATCCGTATGTTAGTTGATATTAAAATATTCAAAACATCTTATATTTATTAACAAAGGAAGTAACTGCTAAGTGCACGAGCTGTTTTTTATATCTTTTATCTAGGTAACTATAGTACTCCCTCCGTTTCTTTTTACTTCGTATATAAGATTTGGTCAAAGTCAAACTACACAAAGTTTGACAAAATTTATATAAAAAAATATGAGCATTTACAATACTAAAACTATATAATATGAAAATATGTTTTATGATGCATCTGATAATATTGATTTCATATTGTGAATGTTTAAATTTTTTTAATATAAAGTTGGTCAAACTCTACAAAGCTTGACTTTGACCAAACCTTATATGCGGACTAAAAAGAAACGGATGGACTACTTTTTTTCTTTGAATTTCCTAAACCGTTTTTTGATGCTTTTCCTTGAGTTTTCAAGATTAAATAGTACTAATAAGGAGCCTGGCAAATCCCATGCCCCCATGCCCTATCACTTTATTGGAGAAATGATACCATGATATATAAACATGTACATGTAATATTTGCTAAGTGGAATAGAACATCTTGTCAAGTCAATATGTTGAGCAAAGTATGAAAATCGCATACATTGGAGCTCTTTCTTAGAGAAATATTGGCCATCTCATAACACAATTTTTTTTATTTTACTTTATTGACACACTAGAGTATTTGTCATGGGACTTGATTCTTGTGCATGAAGCAAATCTTACAATCACCAACCACATGAGCCGAGTTGAGTTTCGACAATTCTTTTGGATTTACATTACTACCTCCGTTTCAGTTTACAAGTCCTACGCATATATAACATAAAAATTATACCGTCTGAAAATAGAACATCTGAAGTTTATATTGGTTTATGTTTTGTAATATATGACTTGTATTAGGTTAGTCAAATTGATGATCTAAGGGTACGCGCACGCCCTGTAAACTGAGAAAGAGGTAGTACTACAAGATGGTCTTTCAATAGCTTTTCCCCATATTTCCGATAACTACAAGTTATGTAAAAGGAGGGCAATAATCCTGCACTCTTGATGCTCCTACCACTTTGCCGGAATCACAAAGGACCGTCAAGATGTTATATAAACTCATACGTGCAATGATTTTTCTAGTGTTTAGGGCTATCAAAACAAGATTTTGAGAAAGTTCGCTATTGCTAAATACCTATCTGCCACACCTGTAACTCGTGCATCAGCTCCTGTCACCAGGTCCCACTAAGACTACCCACAGTGGGAGTAACATCTTAACATCACACTTATCTAGGCAAAATAGATGATGTGGCATGTAATAAATGAAGAAAGAGAGGCATGCAGTAACATAGCTAGTTACTGTAACATCACACACATCAAGAAAAGATGAGTCTACAACATAATAAATGCAGTGATGCATGACACAATACATATGTTACTACCCATTGTGGAGGTAGTAACATAGACTAGTAACATATGCATGTTACTACTCTAAGTTACTCCCCACTATAACTAGTCTAAGACTGGTCATAGTGGGGAGTAACTTAGACTAGTGTCATGCATATGACACTGGTCTATGTTACTACCTTCATAGTGCAAAGTGTCATAGAAGTAGTATCATATATGATTGCATTTATTAGCTTATAGACTTAATATTTCTTGGAAAGCGCTATGTGATAGTAACATAATATGTTACTTCAAACACCTCTCTTCTCATTAACTTGGTGTCACATAAGCAAACTTGTTTTGCGATGTGTTATGTTACTAGCTAAGTTACTCCCACTATGACTAGCCTAATGCAATCAAGAGCTTGTGCACATGTTTAATGCAGAGTTTTCTTCCATCCCCACCAACTACTCATATAAACCCCTCACCTTCGGCAAGTCTGCCAATATGCCATCATCTATTTGCCTCCATGCAATGGCATACTGCGACTGCATTCATATTGGTCATGTGTTGAGGTTGTTGTAACATGCGAGGGGTAAAGAAAGCTTATGTCATTGCCATTAAATATGCCATGTTATGACAATCTGCGGCGTTACCATTAACTTTTGATAAATTGCATGTTCATTCTCATATACCTCTTTTATTTGAGTGATGTGAGTCAATACGTGAATATGATTGGTTATGTAAAAAAGAAATTCAAAACGGAGGCAAAAGATTTGCCTCGTCCATTAATTAAGCAGAAGAGAGTTGCTCATTTAATTAATGAAAAACCGGACAAAAATCATCACAAACCGTTGAGTGGTACCCACAAGATACCCAACACGGCACTCCACAAAGGGCCTCGTCGAGATAACACAACGACATTATCGTCATCACTTCTCCCCTAGAGGCGTCATCGCCATCCCAAACCCTGAGAAACGACTCCGACTCCGCCATAGACGATCATCGAACCAACCCTACACCGAACAAGCCGTGCAGAGCCACATGAAGGTCCGCGTCAGATCTCAGCCGCCGCGAGAAGACAACGCAACTTTAACACCGACAAAGGGCTACGAAGGAGAACCATGCAAGGCTAGTGTCGTGGAAGATCACCGAACGGACCACTTGCTACCCGTCATCGTACGCCACCGGGCCCCGGCACCGCAGCTTCGACATCACAGCAACAAACCCGTCGAGGCCATTCCACGAACCCGCGGGAGAAGAGTTGACTGATTATGTAATGTTAGATTTTTCTTTGACTATGTATTGATATATTTAGGTATGGTCTGATGATCAAATGTAGGATCATCAAAATGTTCAAATCTACTTTATGTTGCATAGAGATCACCAAAGATTTATGTTGTTTTTCTTTGACAAGGATGGCCACCAAAACTTATGAGATTGTTCTCTGGGGTATAATTCTCAACATATCTTACATTTAATATTGAGATTTATTTAGGCAGCCGATCTGCACGTGTCTTGAAGAAAAGGGCCAACCTGTGAGTAAATTATCCATTTGAGGCTTGGTTGTAGATGGTTTCATTAAAAAAAGGTCTTGGTTGTAGAGAAGAGAAGGGGCTGACGAAACTGCAGGGATTTGTTGTAAGAAAACAGAGGATTTCTTGGGCTCAGCTGCCATATGTTGACTGGTGGATATGGCGGGGTGAGGAAATACCGGCCGACCGAAGGGTCTTGTTGTAATTATTATACGGGAAGACATGGCCGCTGAAAGAAGGCTCCAGGGGCATAGATGCAATAGAAAAAACATGTCGCAGGGACCGCCGTGCGAAATCCTTGCGCAGGGGGCCATGCTAATCTTCTCTATATCGTTCCAATTTTATCGGACGTCCCCAAGGAACGAGTCTAGCAGTCGCGCTCGAGCTTATAAACCGGTCTACTCATTCTTGCGTTGCCGAGGTGGGACTAAATAACCTTACACTGCTGTGTTTTGCTCTCCCCGGCCGCACCCGCATGAGCGGAGGAGCCCGATCCTGCAGGCCCAAAAGCCCATCGATAGACTAACGTGGGCTGCATTCCATTACGTGGCCCAAACCAGCAGGGAGCCAGGGCGTAGTGTTTTTCTTCCTCTGCGTCGTAGGGGCCACATGCCTCCACATTATCGTGTTGTGTTGTGTTGTGATACATATTTGTGGTGAAGTGTCTCGACACGAGATTATTCGAGCTTGCATTCTCTAGCTGTTTGCAGCAATCTAGCGCCAACATTTTGACCTACTGAATAAGTCTGATATTCTTGTTAAAAAAGAGTCTGAGCAATTTTTCCAACAATTCCTACCGCAACACGCGGTTATCTTCTGCTCCTAGTTACTAGAAAATCACAGTCAGAGCACTTTTTTTTGGAGAAATGTTGTGCACCTAACAATACATAACAAGATATCCGACAAGAGAGGTAGTGTGATAGGAGCAAGAAATGAATTCATTTGACGACATGGTCGTTGAAGAGCTTGAAACGCCCGGCGTTGAGCACGAGCTTCCTCACGGATGCGACCGCGCCAATGACCCCGAGGCCGGTGAACAAGACCATGATCGCCACGTTGGCCACATACACCACCGACCTCCTAGGCGGCGACACTACCATGTTGTACATGACGACCGGGAGTATAAAGTCTAGCGGAATGTACCCCACGGCTCCGATCACACCCACAATCTCGCCAAAGAACGGCAGCGCCGCCGCCACAAACGCGCAGAGCGCCACGTAGAAGGTCCGCATCGCCACCCGCGGCAACAGGTTCCGCCACGAGAACCTCCCCCGCGTCGCGTCTGCCACCCTCTTCTCCATGACCTCGTACACCACCTGCGCGTAGAGAAGCGCGATGGCAAGGAGCTGGAAGAGGACGAGCACGACGGTGAGGCAGAGCAGCCACCTCGGTGCCAGCGAGGGTCCCGTGTTCGGCATCAGGCTCTGGATGGCGTTGGACTGGACCGTTTTGCCGAAGGCCCAGTAGCCGGTGATGGCCAGCGGGTAGAAGGTGAAGAAGGCCACCGAGTAGTTGATCACCAGCGCCTTCACCATCTTCCCGGCCGCCGGAGGCACCAGCGTGGCCTGGATCTCGGGCAGGATGCCGTTGCCGAACGCCGCGGCTAGGATGGAGACGGAGAGGAAGGCGTCGAAAGTCTTCTCCGACCTAGACATGCTCAGCGAGTAATCCTTCGCCGGAGCATTGCTCGAGAGACCTATCATGTAGAGATCGAGAGTGAGGTTGTTTTTTTCTCCGAAAACACCGAGTAGACATAGATTGTTGATGTTTTGTGCATACCTGCCCGAATGCAAGATGCAGAGACGAGGATGGTGTAGCCAACGCTAAGGACCAACGAGCCGAGGTTAATGTACCGCAGAGAGTGGAATGACGGCATCTGGGACAAGAGAGCTAAAACGGAGGCGACGGCGATGATGAAATGGTACAGTTTCAAAGGGCCATCCGGCACCAAGCTCGTGTACATAATCTGCAAATCACCGAAGATCGATTAAGCTTAGCTGCTTGGAGTGACTTTTTGATTTCGATCTAGGTAGCCAAGATTTTGACAATATTATGTAAAAATAGAAAAGAGAAAGCGGACCAATACTCACTGGTGTCATTCCAAAAAATCAGTAACCAACTATCAAAACACATTTTTAGTGAAAAAACAAGTCCATTCACCGAACAATTACATGATTGTAATCCGCTTTCGGTTTTATATAAACAGTCTAATTTTTTTCTAAATCTTAGCCTTTTGGGGGGAAATGGTATGTTTCCCTACAGCATATATTTTGATTTTGAATTAGAAAGGTCATGCAAAGAAAAAAAAACAGCAATACAGGTCATTTTATATTGCATAGTACACTTTTTTTGAGCATCAGTACAGACATAAGCGCTCATATACATGCGCATACACTCATTCCTATGAACGCGCACACGTACACCCTACCCCTATGAGCACCTCCGAGAGACTGAGCCTGCATAGTACACTTTCTGTCCTAAAATAAGTGTCTCATCTTTATACTCCCTTCTAAATATAAGTCTTTTTAGAGAATTCTATATGAACCACACACAAAGCAAAATGAGTGAATCTAAACTCTAAAATAAGTTTATACATATCCGTATGTAGTTCATATTAGAATTTGTAAAAGACTTATGTGCACAGATCATTCTCACTAATCACCTGTAGAGAGTTGCCGGCGAGCAAGATACTTCCGATGGTGACCCCAACGTTGATCGCACCCTGCACGGCGACCATCAGATAGAACGCCCATCCAGATCCTTAACAAAAATCACACCGCTCATCAGTTGGTTCATACGTACTCGTATTTTATTTTCATCGCACTCGTATTTCTAGATCATCAATCTAACAAATAAAATACTCCCTCCGTTCCTTAATATAAGTATTTTTAGAGATTTCACTACAAACTACATACGAATATATATATACATATTTTAAAGTGTAGATTCATTTATTTTGCTCCGTATGTAGTCCGTAGTGGAATCTCTAAAAAGATTTATATTAAGGAACGGAGGGAGTACACATTATGCTATAAAATAAACCACTAAATTTGTATTGGAAAATGGTTCTGGTGATGTAAAATTTTGTTGTTGCTGTTGTGGTGATCGGTGCAACTTCTGTGTTGTATCATTTCTTAGCAAATATTGTTACTTACATGCTGTTGGTCATATAATGATGACCTGGACAAGTGGACATATATAGTAAGCTAAAGAAGGTTAATGGTGACGATGAAACAGGTGCTCGAGCTCCATGGACCATGGGCATACCGAGGACGTCGGCGGCGAGGTCGCGGAAGCGGATGTGGCGGCGGCCGGCGGCCTCGCAGTGGTCGAGCACCCGGGACATGACGTAGTAGGTGTAGAAGGAGACGGCGGCGAGCGCGGAGAGCGTGGCGAGGCCCAGCGCCCAGCCGATCCCCCGCAGCGCGTACGGCAGCGACAGCACCGCCGGGCCCACCATGGCCGTGGTGAGGTGGAACCCCGCGTGCCACCACGTGCCCTTGGCCTCCAGCACGAACGCCGCCCCCGCGTCCCCCGCCTTACCCTCGCCGGAGCTGGGCGCACGGCGGTGGGCCGTCGCTGCCTCATCTGCCACGGCCCCGGCGGCGGAGAAGGAGGAAGAGGAGGACAGCGAGGCGACGGCCATGGATACCTCCTTCCTTTAGCTTCGCGGCCGGGCTGATGGATGGTGGTCCGTCACGGCGTCACCATGCACGCGCAGATACATAGTACATGGAGACCGGCCGACGATGGACGTAAGCGTAGCTCAGTCAACCAATGCTGGCGAGCTGGGGGACTGGGAGCACAGCAAACACGACTTGAAAGAAGATTGCTTCCGCAGTCGCAGGGTCACAGCTCACAAGTGAGTAAAAAGTATAGACGCATGGCATGGATGGAGGTGAAGCTGGCTGGATCACACATACATATATATCACTTGGAGGCTGGAGCAGTAGGTGCCGGCGGTTACCACCAGCCTGACCGCAAGTCAAAAATATAAATTACTATCAACATAGCATTTTTCAAATTTCAAAGGTGAATGATGGATCGTAGTATAACAACAGTGGCCCCATCCAGTTGCTCAAAGATAGCATTTTCAACAGTGGCCGCAAGTCAAACATATAAATTACTATGAAGATAGCAATTTTCAAACATGAGCGAATCATATAGTATACCAACATGGCATGGTTTCATGCGGACCATGTCGCATTTCATGACCGGCCAGGGCCGAGGACCGCCCGCCGGCTGCTACTTCCGGCGGTGCCTACCTCGTTCGTGGGAGTACGGTGCCGTACCATACCTCTATGCCGGCCGGCGTCACGTACCCCGATCTCCTTTTCCATAAAAAGAAATGCATCGAGACGCAAGGTCTCCTGTGTTGCATGTGGTTTCGACATTCAAAGTTGGACGTGGTACACGCCTGCCTACAAGGTTCAACTACTGATAGGGCAGTTCAGAGACAGACTGGGTCGTAGGCTCGTAGCAACTGAAACAAAAAGTCTGTGCAGTGTGTGTAGAACCAACACTTCCAAGGCATATGCTCTGTCCTCTCTCTCATCATACATAATTTAATCTAGTGTATAAGTACGGCAACTGAACTAGTCTACTCCAAATAAAGAGGAGGAAGATAATCAAGCACTGATTAATTTCCGCATCACGTGTCAGCTTGGCCCCAATAAGAAAAGCTACTCCCTCCGATCCATATTACTTGAGTACAAAGTTTGTACAACTTCGTGCTAGAAACTTTGTACTAAACTAGCGATTAGTTATATGAATCGGAGGGAGTACCATACTGACCGACTTAACTGATTCAGATAGGCAACCTATATTTGTTTCGCCTAAGTCCATTGGGAGTCAGGAGTTGGCCATGGAGCGTGGAGTTTCATATGTTGTTGCCCTTTCTTCATCTGTGACCATCAAGCATGTGATGCATGTGAGTGGCATGGCCATTGAGCCAAGTGTGTTGGCACCTACTCCAAATCCAGATGCTTTCTTTGCGAAGGAAGTGTGTTACTTGCTCGCTAGCGTGGAGGTTGCTAGACCTGATTTGGGCAGGTCGATTGCTTGCCTTCTGACGGGGACGCCAATAAGGGGCAAACAAAAGAAGGTGCACAAATGCAAGAGTGGCGTCATAGGCAAAGCGTCTCTGATTGCTTGATGGATGATTATCTCTTAGCCTATCCTCTTGGATTGAGAGGTGCATGATGTCTTGTGTCGAGATGTTCCTGTCGGGATACACTTGGCATAGTAGCAGTGTCGGAGTTTGTGGATGTTGTGCATTCGGAGAGTTTGGCAAGGGCCGGATGTGCGGTTGTGGGGTTTCTTGTCATGTGAGTAGTTAGTCCGTGCTCCGTTTGTGTAGGTTTTCGCCCAGTTTTCCTTAAATAAATTGAGCAATTTTCTTCTTAATTAATCGATGAGGCAAAAAATGTGCCTTCGTTTTGGAAAAAAAATTGTTTCAGCCTCCAGCTTGCCCATGTGCCGGGCAACATACATTGACCGGGGAAAACCACAGGGTTTAACTCGTCTTCAGACAAGAAAACTGACAATAATGAAAATAGAGCTGCAACAGTGTACACAGTGCGTTGTTATAGCATTCCAACCATGTTCCAAAAATGGCAAAAAAGAATACTTTTGAAGAATGGGTTTTTTTAGGGGTGAAAAAAACTTTTATGCATCACCAAATTCCACATGATGTGGGATACAACGAGGGTCATGAGGGGTGCCAAACCAGACGTGGCGGCCCAAACCCTGAGAAAGAGAAAAACGAGCTAATCTATGTGCTTCATAATTAACAGCACGTCTCTCGAAAATGAACTGCGAATTAAATAAAGAGGCTTTTGCCCTGATCTCGGCAATGATTGCCCCATGAGCCCCTAGGGTTCCTTTAGAGATGTCACACACCACTTGCTTACAGTCGCTGGAGATGACACAGTTCGTCAAGTTTAGATCCTCCGCAAGGGCTAACGCCTCCCTGCATGCTACTGCCTCCAGCGTGGTTGGGTTACTCATGCCATAAACGACCAGCACCGAGCTACCCAGATAATTTCCTTTGCCATCCCTGCAGACTGCTGCTGCAACTCCACCTCACTCATGCCTGACAGCAGCGTCCACATGGATCTTGGCATAACCCTGTGGTGGAGCCTTGGCTCTTGGCCGGGAAGATGTAGGAGGTATATTTGCCCGATCTGCTACAGGTTTTTGCTGATCTGCTACTAGCTGTAGCTCATCAATGAATCTGCGTATGAATGCTTGAGTAGATTGTGGACTTTGAAAAATCCCTTCATGTATTGCTTTCCTCCTAGCCGACCAGATGGCCCACAATGTGACCACTAGCAGCACAAACATGTCATGTTCGAGTGTCTCCTTCAATGTAAACAACCAGTGCTTGGCAGAAGGCTCCGTCAGCATCATCATTGTATGTGCAAGTTCGCCATCACTCAATGCCTAGACGCATCTTGATGCAGAACATTCCACTAAGGAGTGCCTCCATGAATCTGATGCTCCACACAATCTGCAGCTAGCCGAGTCAGTCATGTGTCTGTGTGCTCTTATATCATTCGCTGGAAAGGAATGTTTTGAAAGTCGCTAGAGAAACACTCTAACCTTCGCCGGGACACTCGTTTTCCATAGAGATTTCCAAGCGCCTTCCTCAGTGTTTGTGCTTGAAGAGATGGAGTTGCCCTCGAGCCAAGCCTCTCTCCGTTGCTTAGTGGCCACTAGCATTCTGTATGCTGATTTTACTGAAAAAACTCCATGCTTCTCGTGATGCCAGCTCCAGAAGTCAGGCAAATTGTGGGTGCATAGGGGAATGCCCAATATCACTTGAGTGTCCATTGGCAAGAAGGTCACTTCAACTTTGGCCCTGTCCCATGACGTGGACGTGTGGTCAATTAACTCTGACACTCTGGATGGCGGGTTCGCTGTCACGCACCCATACGGTCGCAACATCTCATCCCGTGGTAGCCAGTTGTCCCGCCATATGTATGTTGTCTCTCCGTTTTCCGATCCGTCTGATCAATCCTTATTTCAGAGTATCTCTGCCTTCGACTATAGCTCTCCAGACTTGGCTAGGGTGACCGCCAAGAGTGGCCTGGAGAATGTCAGTCTATGGATAGTAAATGCTTCTTAAGAGTCTAGCACATAGAGTCTCAGGGTGCTGCAACAACCGCCACACTTGCCTGGCTAGCATGGCAAGGTTGAACAATTCAAAGTCCTTGAAACCTAGACCGACTATCCCTTTTGGTTGTGTCATTGTTTGCCAAGAAACCCAATGTGGTTTTCTTTTTCCGTCCTTGCCGCCCCACCAAAACTTCCTTATCAACATATTCAGATGTTCACATAGGCCCCTGGGTAGTTTGAAGCATGACATGGAGAAAACAGGCACTGCTTGAGCCACTGACTTGACTAGAACTTCCTTGCCAGCTGATGACATGGTGTTTTCAATACATCCCTGCACCTTGCTCCACAAACGGTCTTTTAAATACTTAAAAGCACCATTTTTTGAATTTTCAATATCTGATGGCATCCCCAAGTATTTCTCATTAAGAGTTTCATTGGAAACATTTAACAAAGCTTTTATCTCCACCCTTAAGCTCCGGGCACCCCTTTACTGAAGAAGATCGAGGATTTTGAGTAGTTAATTCGTTGCCCTATCGCCTGACAATAGATATTCAGCACCTGGTTGACCTCGGCAGCACCCACACTATTGGCCTTGAAGAACAGCAGGTTGTCATCTGCAAATAGAAGATGATTCACTAGTGGCGCCGTAGGTGCAACTTATAAACCATGCAAATTGGATGACTCTTCTCTGGATTTTAAAAGGCACGAAAGGCCCTCTGCTGCCAACAAGAACAAGTATGGAGATATTGGGTCCCCCTGTCTGATTCCTCTCGAAGGTATAAACTCTTGCAATTTCTTCCCATTGAAAAGCACATAAAACTTCAGTGTGGTAATTAGGCTCATCACTATGTCCACCCACCTGTTAGTGAAACCCAACTTAAGCATTATAGCCCTCAAGTACTCCCACTCGATCTGTCATAGGCTTTCATCATGTCAAGCTTCAAAGCACATGACCGATGCTTTTTGGCTTTGTTCCTTTTCATGAAATGCAAACACTCATAAGCTATGATGATGTTGTCAGTTATCAATCTGCCCGGGACAAAAGCCGACTGCTCCTCAGAAATAATATCAGGTAAGACTGATTTGAGTCTGTTAGCTATTACCTTCGATGCTATCTTGTACAAGATATTGCATAAGCTAATGGGACGAAACTGGGACAATAGTGTAGGTTTTTTTTACCTTGGGGATCAATACCAGCACCGTTTCATTGATGCATTCAGCTGACTCGGTGCCCTCCATTATTTTTAGTACCACCTTTGTAACATCATCGCCACATACTTCCCAATGGCGCTGAAAAAATGTGTTGGGTATCCGTCAGGGCCTGGAGCTTTGATAGGGAAC